CCGTGGATAGAAGGTAAAGATATGCGCTGAGGAATGACGTTTGTTATGAAACATACAATAAGCATTAGCCTTGGCAGCGATGGCCTTGGACGAGAGTATCTCTAGTTCTTGCGTTGTAAGACCTGACAATGTTGCCATGGTTAAGATGGGACACAGTGCAAAGTAGACAAGCACACTTATAGAAGATGAACGGGCTAGATTATAGTCGCAAATGGGGTGTAGGGTCTCTAGTGGTGATTCCGCAGCGGGCTGTTCACAATGTCCTACCCCGCCTTTTGGAAAAAGTGGACTTTAGGAAGGGGAAACAAGATAGACCATTAGATAGACCAAATTTTGAATAGGCGTGTTCGTGGAGAATCTCAAGAGACATTCAATCTGTCTACGCAATCGTATTCCTTTCTATGCTTTGATCATTATATACAATTTCCCGGCCTGAGACAAAAATCATGGGTATTGTGCCACAATTCAGAAGGGAAGAACATGAATTCCTTTTGTAAAGATGCCAATACCAATTGGCCCAGAATATTGACTGTAGTAAAGCAGAAGAAGAAGAAGGCAGAAGAGAAAATCTAGACATCAGGTGAGGTATCATAAATGCGAGCAAGCTAGAGGATATTGGGGAAAAAAAAAAAAAAAAAAAGGAAAAAAGAAAAAAGAAGTCAATGGAAAGACACAGGCAAGTGACAAAGAAGTATGCTCAAGCGAAATAATTCCGCAGCCCTTCGTATATAGTGAAGATGAACGCTGAGCTAGGGGCAGACCGAGCACATGTAATACCGCAGCCTCGATACAATGCCCTCAGCCCCTGCTGCTTCCATAAAGCTCTGCCAACACTCCAGAATGTCTGCCTTTTACCACGAGTTGCTGCATTATTGATGTCCTCGGTCTGCATCCGTGATTTGACTGTATCAGCCGGATAGAACAGGAAATTGTAGCTTATACCCGCTGCGGCCCCCGCAACCATTTGTTGATAGATAGGAAGTGACTCTGAGTCGCGAGGCGATGCTGTTGAATAGTATTTCCGAAAGAAAGCCGATACTCCTTCATAGCCTCCAAACCAGGCAGCTCCTCCTCCGGTCTCCCGAATCAACGTTCCCATCTGGCCCCTCCAAAAACCAAGAATACCGTCCTGACGAAATATGGCGGCGACGAGAGTCAATGGCCCGGGCATCTTGCTGCTAGAAGCTTCAAGTGGTACCTGCATTTTGCATTTGACGAGCTCAATCGGGGTGAGGGCAAGTGAGGTGATAGACCCGGAAGCAGCACCACTGAACAATAGAGCTGAGAAAGGCATAGAATCCGCCGTAGGGTAGCAGGTGGCCCTGAGAACATCCTGAATTATGCGGTAGCTGAAAAAGAGGCAGCTATTCTCTATGGCAGCACCTGCCATTGGGGCACTAATGCCTCGATAGAGCCCCCGTAGACCATCCACCTGAACTGATTGGCGGAAACAGTCCAAAGGGCCTTGGTACCGAAGTGGAAGGTGAGCTGGTTGTGATTGAAGTCGCACTTTCACAGTGTCGAAAGGATATTCAATGACCTTGCCAGCCATTCCAGCTGCCTAGAGGATTGATTTGAGTGTGAGTGATATTCGCTTAGACGTGGAGAAGCCAAGCTCTTACAGATCCAAAGATTATGTCTTTGAACGCCTCGAAACCCTGATTAGGCGGCAGGACAGGAAACTCCATTGATTTCTCATTATCGATTGCAAGCACATGTTCTGCGGCCGCCATGAAGGTTCAGGGAACGAGCTGTTGAGCTCTGAAGTGCAGGAGGTGAAAAAGGATAAGCCGCGAAAGTGATGGGAGAAAGCAAAGGGATGCGGTGGTGAGACCTATTGGTGAAGCATTGTATAGGTCTGATTTTCCAGAGGAGAAGGAATGGGAGGGGCGGTGTATACGTATAGGATTGATTTCGAATTATCTTCTTCGCCCGATCAACACTCGGTGAAGCCGCTAAGTGTGCATCGCTTGTGAGTGGGAGTAGGCCTCAAGGCCAATGCACATGATTGATTCAGAGACTGTGGTGGAGACTTGTTCTGTGGCGCTCTATTGTGACCGCAAATCTCGCGACCGAGGGGTGGAATGAGGGAGATTCGTTTGAGGCATTTCTTTTTCAGGCGCCAATGGAGGGGATCGGACCACCACTTCAGCCGAGATCCGGTTATCTGATCGGTCTAAGATAACTTTTTCCTCAGAAAATTGCGAGCTGTTAATAAAAATTGGTTACAGAAAGATCGTACTAGTAGTCGGTTTTTATTAGTGCCACCACTACAACTATTTTGTACTCTGCTCCGTACCGCCGTAGTCCGTTCTCCTTCCCAGACCAGGGCTAGTACACTCTCCTTATTTTTGTTACAAACCCGTCCTTCCATCATTTCTTTCATAATTTTGCTGACAATGTCGTCGGCAATCTCAACCTCATCCGTCACCCCCGTCAAGGGTATGAGAAAGAATGGTATGATCTTATCTCTCCAGCCTTTTACGTTACTATACTTTTCCTTGAAGAGTTTTCAGCTTTTTCTGCTATGGCCTTGAGCTGCTCTCGCTGATAGACTATTCGTTTCCATAGGCAAAAACTGGCACGATTCCAAGAAGCCATTTCGCCCCACTTCAGGCCTGACAAGCTATGAGAAGAGGTTGGAAGCACGCAAGCGTCAGGAGGCAGTTAAAGAACACGAACGTGAGCTGAAGGAAGAAAAGGAGGCTGAACGGAAGGTAGGGAGGAGACGCAAAGCTTCTATGGACTTTCTCCGTTGCTGACAATACTGGTCAGGCCCAAATACAGAAGATCAAGGATCGTAGAGCTGCCAAGGAAGAAAAAGAACGCTACGAGAAAATGGCAGAGAAAATGCATCGCAAACGTGTTGAGCGGCTGAAGCGAAGGGAGAAGCGTAATAAGTTACTCCACTCGTGACAGCAGAAGAATCTGCCTCAGTGCCTGTCATGCATTATCTTCCTCTTACAGCATTGTCCGCATACCAGTTCACCACCGTGACCTTCAACATTTGCGGCCGATACCAGGTTCTTTTCTTTTCCTCAGTTCTTCAGCTAATGCATTACTCGAAAAATTGGCGGCGATGCAGGAGTTGGGTTGGTCTTTAGTTGTTTTGATCTCTTCCTGATTTGATTTGTATGACATGCAATGTTTTGAGTAGGAATATCTCGGTGAATATAGGCCATGAATCAAAATGATATTCTCATAATCCACATCTCCATCTTTCTAATGGCTTCTCAAGACACTTGCTTGATCAAAGCTGAAGATCATCACTGGCCAATGCGAGATCTCACATGATGCAGCTATCTCTTAAGGAGGTGTGGTTATTAAGCCTTTGCGAGTCTACAGCGCAGATCTAAATATTTCGCTTTTGCGAACTTGAAGGTTGTCCAATTCTGTTTCACATAAGAGAAATACATTCGACGAAGGGTGCGCATTCATTGCACAGATGGATCCTCCTCTCGGAGCTACCTTTGCAATCCCCCGGTCACGGCTTATCTACCCAAACAAAATAGATGTCTGGTTTGCTCAGACAGGCGCGGGTTCAAGACCCACCTACTCGATAACTAACCATCTGCTACGCTCGTAGCGGACATAAGACGGTTGTCAGTACAGAAGAGATCCCGAAGTGCAATTGAACATGGCCCAATTTTATTGTCTACTGGTTTCAATGCAATTCAAGAAAATCGCGCGCACGATCGTCCAGCCGTCGAGACCCATCTAAACCGCAGCCGGCTGCAACAGCAATAAAGACAAGTACAGCAAGTCTCATGACAGTACTTTCCCGCCAAAAATGAATCGCTTCGTCACTCCTGCTGATGTTAGAAGCCCGTTGCCGCTATGGACGGGAGCACAAGAACGGGGCGAGGGTGATGATAACCTGCTCAAGCCGATGACGCGCGAGACAACTCGATCGCGTTGGGGATCAGACTCTACCACGGGCTTGGGATCTGGAAATGGAAAAGGCACTTCACTTGATGGAATTAATGACAACCAGACGACTGATTCCCTGATGGTACACGAAGTACGCTCCTTGAACGATCTAGAGCAAGTGAAGTCCAGAAGACAACAAGGAGAGGAGTAAGGTCGTTTCCCAGCGTCTGTCTACAAACTATCTGACTTAAGCAAATCGGTTAGGCACTTACGATCCGCCCTGTCCACGATCGGCACTCTCGCAACAGATATTACACGCAGGTTGGATTATACATACTACAGTCTGCTTGAGAAGATCGCTGCTCTCACTTCAACGTTTGCATCATTTCAGGAACTCTCCGATTCTGCATCGACAATATTTCATGACTTTGAGCGGGAGACATCTGTGTTGGATGGGGATATTCGGAGACAGATTGGAGACCTCAAGGATTTTCAGCGCCAGATGCGAAAAATAGAAAGGCTAGAAGAGCGTATGCGGTCAGGGAAAAAGAAAGCCGACGCACTTGGGAAGAGACTTGAAGCAATCCGCAACCAAATCGATCTTTGGGAGAAAAGGGAGATAGAATGGCAGACACGAGTTGGTCGGCGGCTTCGAATCTTCTGGATTGTTGCTGCTCTTAGTGTACTGGCTTTCTTGGTCGTTCTCGTCAGCCAGAGATCCTCGGCAATTGGTGTTCCTGGCTTCGAAAGTTCTGTACCAGTTGAAATGTGGGACAGACGCCCTTCTGCGCCATCCATCCAACTAGAGAAGCAAGCTTCTGGCGAAGTATGGTCTCGATATCACTCTGGCAGCAAGTCTCATCCGGGATGTTATCGGAAGTCCCATTCGGCCCCTACACCGACCTCCCCACCATTCAATGCAATGGCAACTCGTGCTAGCTCGGATCCTGTAAGAAAACTTGATGAACTTTGATGGAACATCATACCATCCAGCGACAAATGCTCTTGCGCGGACTCATCATGCGTCACACTCTCTCATATTGTCGTCTTGAATTTATATTGTCAGGATATTCAACATGTGTGGAGAAAAAAGTCCTAGAATCAAACATCCGGTTTCAAAGTCATCGTTATCAGCCACTTGTCTTCTTCTTCTTATCCTCGACAAGCTCGATGTTGGACTCAGGGATTTCCTTCCCATATACTTCCAGAAGCCACTCTTGAACATCCTCACTAACGTCACCTTGAACTGTGATTTCCTCGACCCCTGCGGGTGACTTCGTCACCGAGGAACCAGTAGCGAATTTCTTTCCCAATTCCTTTGCGACTTTCTTGTTTTCCAAACCATGTACTTCCAACCCTGTGATAACAGTGACGTGTTTGCGTTTGTTGCGCTCAACACGCTTGATCTGAATCTTGGCCGCTGCCTTCCGCTCTGCGTCGCGTGCTTCAGCAGCGGCAGCTTTCGCCTCCTTCTTGGCGGCGTCTTTAGCTGCACGCTCCCGAACGGACACTGACAGCTCGGACAGATTGGAGCTGAGGGCTTCTACACCAGGAATCTCAGTTGGCCTCTCACTGCTGCTTGATAGCCGAAAAAGATGCGCAAGCATACCTTCCGAGTATAACCGCTGGTATAAATCCGCATAATTATCCTTCAACCATTCTTCGCACTTCTTTGCGGTACCGCCAAATTCACAGTACTGGAACACTTTCGAGTTAACATCCTCATGCTGCGATATCTTTATAACTGCTGCCTGTGCCACTGATTTGATACGGCGAACAGGGGAAATTCAGGTGGACGTGCTGATAGGAAGGCTAAATGCCCGTACCTCAGGAGGCAGTGTGCAGACTAGAGATTCCGAGATCAGTTTTGCAAATATAGGAACCGGGCCGAGCAGGAATATTCGCATCGGATTGAGGACCATGGGACTTACCACCACAATAGACAACTTGCTTGGCCTGAGCGTCAGCAGGAGAATTTTGCGCTACCTCTGCCATCTTGATATGGTTTCCGAATTGGGAATCTAAGCTCAGGCGATGGGTGTACAAAACAACTGCATGATGGATATCGATACCAACGGCGCGCGGGGCCATCGAGCCTAACCGTTAATGGCTAGATATTAGTTTGAGCTACGGTCATGTGACTTAAGATATATTTACTCTACTCTATCTAGCCGGTGTGGAACTGCAAGATTCGAAGTCGAAGTAACTCGCGCACCAAGGTATTCGACTAATTCAACTTACGAGACCTGAACCTATTGCAGGTCTTGCTAACATTCTGCTACTTCCAGGATTTCAGTCTAGACCCCCCGTGCAGTTCTGCAAATTTATGGAGTGGGGGGCCGCAGTGTACATTGCCACAATCATGTAAATGTACCCCCGCGCGCTTGAACATTTGCAGTGGCCAAACGCTTTTGTTACTTGTCAAGGCGTTGGACAGGGAGATACTCCGTAGATATGGCAGCATAACAACCAATGGACGACCCCACGCACACAACGGTTGTCTGCGAAAGTTTGTTGTGGATGTTATGCAAGAGCACAGGCGCTCCCTCACGGTAGGGATTGAGTCGCTTCATTGAATCATACTGCTGACAGTACCCCCGGTATATCATGAAGATAAGGATTCTGGCCTTAGTAATTTAGAAGCAGGAATAAGCACATTACCTTGATTCATGGTTTGATTTATGCATTGGAGACTTACATCTCTATGGAGGCCAGGATGAGAGCAGGTCAGATAATGAGTTGCTAGGTACTGATACTTGATCTCCCTTATCATCAGGCCCAAATTGGGTCTAGTGAAATAGAAACAGGATGATTTACCTAGTCTACAGCGAGGCGCAGGTTGTGAAACGTCTTCCTAGTCATGACGTCTCCGCCAACGCAACGGTGAGGTGGTAATTGACGAATCGCTTCGTGGTATCCATGCGCGCTACTCTGTACCACGGTGCTAGAGCTCAGAAGACACCAGAAGCTCTAGGACTGATGGGCAGGATCAGCATGGGCCTCTTTGTTCCAAAAATGCAAATTGAAAATTGCTATTGTACGTAGTACTACTGATAAGAGAGATCTAGACAATTCTCGTTCGAAGCCTCGATCTCCAAGTACGTTTAAACATCTCGGATCTACGAGGAACAAATTGGCCTGCTCCCTTCTACCCCAATTCTTCCCATAAATAACCAACTGCTGACCTGGCAGAAACCAAGCCAATTGGTAGGCTAGATATAATAGGGCCAATCGTCCTCTGTTTAGGTAGATCTTGGTGGTAAAGAACTGACACCGTAAAAAGATCTAGCTGCGCATAGCATGGAGCTGCAATCCGCCGTATCATATGTGCTTCCGTCTTTTGCGATGCTATCATTATTGCATCGAGGCGCATCTACAGACTACGGCATGCTGCGTCGTTGGCCGAGGGCGTGCACAGATCCTTCTACCCGGGTGTGGCACAAGAAAGCCCCGATCACCAAGCTAGTGGCGCTGCGCTACGGACAGTTGGACATGATATGACGGCTGGTGGAGAACAACAGATATGTGGCAAGGTAGAGATGTTAATGGCATGCCGCATAACTCACGATTCAGCAGACTTCCTCTGGAAAGGCGCTGAAAACAACATTCTGATGGCTCCGATAGAATCCGATAGACCTGACAGGGGAGGAGATGAAGTGACATTTGCATATTGCATAGGGAGGAGATTTCAATCTACTGAGGTTCTCAACCATGCTGTCCAATGTAAACTGATCATTGGTTAGCTGAGATTCCCGGTCTAATTATGCAGCAGACAGGGTTCCAGTTATTTATCTGTCGTTCAGTCTCCTAAAGTATTTCGACTTCAGTTCCAGAGTCCACTTGCCCATACATCCATGGTACGGAGTACCACCACTACTAATTCATCCATAGCTGAATCGGCGGCCTTCTACGCAAAGGCAAAGTTAACAATGTATGAGTACCTAGGTATGAACTATGATACAGATGTATGACAGTTATATGAGAGTGCTATCTCCTTGGCATCAAGCCTCGGGAGACGTCCCGTCATACTCCGGCAGAACAATTCCGGCGAATCATCGTGTTTGCTTTGTGCACTACGAAGTACAGACGCTACTCAAGCTACAGCTTTAGTAGCCGAGCGCAGATGGAAGTGCGCCTGCTTTCGCCGATCGACACCATTTTTGGCTTCGCTTTGACATTTGGAGCTGGGATTACTGCACGGAGCTCCGAAGAATTATCAAAAGCCTCAAGCGTGTTAGCGAGACTAGAAACCGTTGTGTAGCGGATCCATATCATGACTTCTGCGATGAAGTTCTCTGTTTTGTCATTTCATATTTATATCTAAACCTGACAATAATGACTCAAGGCTGCACCCGACTGAGTGAGTGTCCGAGATTGATCCATCCAATTCTGTCTGCGACAATGAGGGCAGCTTCCACTTAAAGAGCCAAAGTAGATAGCTGATACTTTGATAGATAATAACGCCCTTCTCCAGAACGTTTTGCGCATTATTTTAGTTTCTCTCCCCATGGGGGGGGGGGGAG